TATTCGTTTCCGATTCCATGCGACGTAGGCTTTATCACTGTTGCTATAAAAATACGTATTTTGAACATCTATCTGGTGAAATTTACTAGAAAATTTCAGAATTATTTGGATATCAGTCAGATTATCTTTTCATTTTTTATTTGATTAATTTTTATATTTTTACTCAAACTATCTCTTTTTTATTGATAAATTGTCTAGGTTAACACTATTTTTTTAACTAATCAAATATTGCACATAAAGGTCAAAATGACCAAAGTATTTCTTTAAAATATAAAAAGACATATACTTAACTAATCCTAGATTTAGATTTATGATTTAGATTTGTGGGCGGGGTTTTGCCGTAGGTTTAAGACTAAAAAATAAAGATATTAATAATTAAAATAATAATTTTTGAAGAAAGTTTTAAAACAGTTTTCGGATTTCAAAATAAAACTTGGAAATAGAAATCGAAAAAGGTCGAATTGATATCTCTCGGAAAGAAAATAATGGTAAAAGAATTTTGTATCTCTTTAATAAAAACTCTTTTAATCATTTTTCTTTCTTATGTGTTTTTTTTTTTTTGGTAAAAGACTTCATTCTACAATCTTTTGGAAGATTTGCCCATAATTTATTTTAGTTGGGATATATATCTTAATAATATCTTCACCATTATCTTTATAACTAGAAAGAATGTTAATAGTTAATAAGAAGAAAATGAAACTAAATTTGTAGTTATCAGTAAGGGATAAGAGCAGATATCCAACGACTTTAGAATATATCAATAAAATCAAGCTGAGTCTTGGATTTCAAGTAATCTCCTTCGCCTTCATCAAAAGCGAGAGAAACTTGAGAAAAGCTAATGGACCCGATGGAGTCTGTGCAGTACAATGGCTTTGAGACCTCCGAAGATAACTCTGACGACGGCCATGGATGGAAGGAAGTCATGGAGTACAATGGCTTTGAGACCTCTGACGCTAACTATCACGAGTACAATGAATGGAAAGACGTCGTGTACCGTAAGCGGAACCAGAAGCAAAAACCGGTAGATCAGGCGCCAAACGGCGAAGTTGTTTCCGACAAGATTGGTCCTGATGGAAACAAGCAAGCGGCCAAGATGGTTGCTGCAGATGTGGATCATGAAGAGCCGAATGGTTCAGGTGCCGCGAGGGATGAGAACGTGAAGACTGAGGAAACTAAAAAGCCGAAACCTAGGAGGAAGAAGAAGAAGAACAAGAAAAAGAACACAGAAGTGTCTTTGTCCGAAGCTTTGGCGAAGATCGATCCTTCACATCTTGCAAAGTTCCTTGTGAAACAAGCATTGGTAAGTGCATGCGTTCAAAAAATAGAGTTACTTAATTTTTGAAACATTGGCTTGACCCCTAAATTTTTGAAGTTTTTTTATTTAGACATAGGTCCCTAGAATATAAAAAAATTCTTAAGAAATGGTTCAAACTCTCAGATCCTGTCCTCAACGCACAAATCAGAAATCGACCTTTTGTTTTTTTGTTTCTCTCTGTAATTAGGAACCTAACTGGAGTCAGATAGTGGAATTTCTTGACTACTTTGAGACAGCACTTTCCCAAGTATCACCTGTGCAGTTTCCATGGCTGGAGATGTTCAATAACAATTGCCCTTTGTCCAAGATGATCCATGTAAGCTATCATGTGACTTCTAGGTTTTGTCTATGGTGCTTTTCCACTTGAGCTAACAACCCTTGGTTCTTATGTATTAAATAAACAAACAGGTTCCATTATCAAATATTCCTGAACCTGTCTACAAAGTATCAGCTGATTGGATAGACCAGTTTCCAGACAAAACAGTCTCTACCTTTGTAAAGTGGGCCTATAAGAATATTCGCACTGATTTGGCAGAAGAACAAGAAGTCATCATAGACTGTGAGAAGGATGAGTTCCTTGAAAAGGTAAATCTTCATTGAACTGAAAGTCTCCCCTATGTTTCTGTGATTGCTTCAGTTATATGTTTTTATGATCAGGTGGCGTTACATGTTGCATTAGCAATGGTGTTACGTAGGAGACCCCACTCTTTGATTTTCTTATTGCCGGCTATGTGGACGGATATTTCGTCTAAGTATCGGAAACTGGACGAGGTTCTATTTACAGTTTGGATGATGGCTCAGGTTCGTGTCATACACTTCTTTCATATTCCCTTATGTGGACTTATAGTAGGGCCGGTCTTGTGCATATGCAAATGAAAGAAACATTGGTCTATGATCCCAAAAATTTAAGAAACATAAGTTTCCATTTTTTTTTTAACTATTTAATGAAATCTTTATTAAACTGCCAATCGCCCCCAAGACAGAGTGTTCGAAATTTGTGTGTGTTCTGATTTTTTGAAAGTTATTTAACTCTAAAACGTGGACAGGCCTCCCAAGGTGATTTATCAGTAGGCTTGCATGCATGGGCGCATACTTTGTTACCACTAGTGGCTGACAAGAAGTGCAACGCTCAGTCTAGGGAATACATTCTGCAACTGATTGAGAAGTAAGTTCGGATTATTTTCTTGTTATCTCCTATGCTATTTATTTATTATGTGACATTCATCTGATCTTGTTTATTCACTTTTCTTATCAGCATTTTGTCTAATCCAGAGGCTCGTACCGTGCTCGTTAATGGGACTCTTAGTGAGGGAAAGAGACTGATTCCACCTCATGCATTTGAGGGCTTGCTGCGGCTTACGTTCCCTGCTTCATCCGCAAGAGTAAAGGATACAGAGAGGTTTGAGGCAATCTATCCCTTTTTGAAAGAAGTGGCTCTTGCTGGTGCACCAATGCAACAAGTCACTCAACAGATTTTCACTTCTACTCTAAAGTTAGCTGGAGAAGGAAACCCTATTTTAGCTAAGGAAGCTACATCAATCGCTATCTGGTTGGTGGCTGAAGATGCTGATTGCTTCAACTTATGGGACAGTATCTATGAGGAGAATCTTGTAGCTAGTGTTGCTCTTCTTAAGAAGATTGTAGATGAATGGAAGGACCACTCCCGCAAACTATCATCATCACCAAGTGATATCATCACTCTCAAACGAACTATCAAGAGCTTTAGGGTTAAGAATGAAAAAGCCATCACTGAAGGAAGAGCCAATGCTTCTCTTTACATAGAAGCTGACAAGTCATGCAAAGTGATCTCGGGGAGACTCTCTCGTCGAAGTGGCTGCCTCATAGGTACAGCCATCTCTGCTGTGCTTCTAGCTGCTGCAGGAGCTGCTGCTGCGATAACTAAGGTTTCCTTTTTATGATCAGAAAAGTTGAGATTTGAGAGACTAAAAATAGCTCGCAAGTTTGTACATGCAAGTTCTTTTAGACTTTTTAAAAATGAATTCTCTCTATACTTGTTTATTTTATGTCCAGATTATTTCTTGTTTAATTTATTTTATCTATTATATGCTTTGAGTTTCGTAGTTATTGATTGAGCAACTTGGAACATGGGGATTGATTGGAATAAGGCTCTATAGAAGATGTGACAGTCAGTTTTATTCTTACAACTTTCTCTTAAAACAATCATGTTTTAGTTTTTAAAATCTTATTTAGCCAAAACATTATAAAATGAAATATATTAGCTTTAGAAATCAACTTTCTCTACAGTTTTTATTATGTATTTTGAGAAAAAATCTAGAGCAAGAAAATTTAAAGCCATAACTAAAAATGTAAAGTCTAAGAACATCCGCATTAGAGGATTTTAAGAAAGGTTCACACAGTTTTCGAAAGAAAATTAATATAATAATAAAGTGGAGGTGAACTCGGGTCGTAGAGGTTTGTTGCAGTGATACCGAGTCGTCACTGTTTTGTGGGTCCTATGATGCGTGACGGTCCGCTATATATTCGTTTATAATTTTCTTTTAAGTACAAAAAAGTACAAAAAAGACGTTGGAATTCGGGAATAAAGCGGTTCACAGATGTGCATGTTCTAAGAGCATCTTTATCCCTAAACCACATTTAAGGGTTTCTTCAAATTTTTTTTTTTTTTTTAGTTTGTTCTTTCTGCTTTAAAAAAAATAAAAAATTAAAAAGCACCAATCGTGGCCGCAACGTGTCAGTGGGGCGCACGAACAGTGTCAAAAACACCATCGTAAGCGGTCCTGAAGTCGGGCCTTTGGGGACTGGTTTTTGTGCTTTAATGGGGCTCATACATTACTTTTTAGAGAGAAACCCATTTTGGAAACCCCAATAATGGTGCTCTAAGAGTCTGAATGGAAATAACTATAGAAGCTTTGAGCAACTATTTTTTCTTCTTAAAAAAAAATTATGACACAATTAGTTTTTTTTTTTAAATGAATCTCCTGACAAAATATTATAAAAGAAAATATGTTATTTTGAAACTCTTCTGTTAAAAGTTATATTTGAATTTACTTATTCGCAACTTTAGTATATGTTGTTTATGTTCATATTTATTTATAAATTAGTAACATGAAATAGAAATTGATTTTTAATTATATAAACTATTATGAATTTGTATAATATATTGAACTAGTTTTTATCCGTAACGTGAAATAGATATTGATTTTTAATTATATAAACTATTATGAATCTGTATAATATTTTGAACGAGTTTTTTTCACCTTCCAAACATATATATTAAACCCTTGTATCCCGTTCACTGTTGTATTATCCGTTCGATCCACACTTATTCCTGCAGTCAATCCATTTAATCCGGTGGATCCACACATCTTTTCAGTTTTTTTTCATCCAGAGCCTCAGTTCTTTATGGTTAACATCACTTGGCGGAAAATTTTGGAAAAAGTTAGTATTTGGGCATATATTTGTTCATTAGAGACTCGGTGATTTTACTGTGACATCCAGTGATTCAATTCCGTAATATCATCACCAAGTGATACCAGAACGTGTGTGGTCCAAGATTGCTATATATTTGATAGAATATGTCTATATATATAATCAACTAAACTAGTGTTTACAAAATCTTATATGTGTAAAGTATGTAACCTTCCGGCAATTCCTCTAAAATCAAGTGCTCACAAAGATTACAATAAATTACGAGCATATACATCTATTGAGAAATGATGTTGAGAAGCGAGGTCCGTGTTCTAATCAACCTTCGAAATAAACCTTCTAGACTTTTCTCAAACCTGCCAATCCATACCTCAAGGTCCTCAAGCTTCGTATGAAGTTCCTCTTGAGAGCAAGAATCTCCGGATATAGCTGAATCTACATCCTCCAACTCGTTTTTGACTATCTTATCGTAATCATGAAACTTCTTCTTCATTAGGACCAAAGCCAACTTGCTCCTTATATCGTTTCCGTTTTGTCGACCCGACAAGAACTCCAAGAACGACTTCAACGCCGAAACCGTCATTGAAACAACACGTCTCATAGCGTGATTCACGGCAAAGAAATGAACATCACGTTCTTGATCAAGATCATTATCTCTCATTACTAACCCTATATTAATGTTCTTCAAGGATCCAAGAAGCTTCCTCGCTTCTTTCCTCATGTTCTTCCTAAACCCGACATAGCCCGAGAGATCGACATCTTTCCTTCTCCTAACACAAGTTTGAAGACCAAGAACTTTCTCATGAGTCTCAACCATGAGATCTCTAGAGGCGTTGCATATATCCATTAGCCTCAACGACCCATCAAGCATTTCCTCCATAAACTCTCCCTTCATCTTCTTCCTCTCAGCATTAAATGACAACACATTTCGCGTGGAACCCATCTTCAGACACTCCTCCGTACAATCGTAAAGATCCTCTAGCCCCACTAAACCGGAGTTAACCGATTCAGATGACGTTACTGTCTTCGTGTTCGTAGTGATCATAAGATACTTGTCTAGCGATTCCTCGATCGCTGCGGTGCTGGGATGAGATCTTGAAGGTAAGCTTATCGATCTTACATGGTTTTTGATGATCTTCATTGCCATATTTGTTTTTTTTCCCTTGTTGTTGAGCTTTGTTTCTCTATACTGATTTGATTCAACGAGCTCTATTTATATCCTAAGGATTTGTAACGTATGTCACGTCTACCAACAAACCTCAACAACAGTATGATTTTTTATTATTTTAACTTTTGTGAGTCTTAGTTGTCATGTTTTTTTGTATAAATTCGGTTGTCAAATTGTGCGTAATAGTTTGGCCACAAAGCTAATGACTCATCGTCTGTTGTGCTTCCAGTTTTGCCACATAATTAATGTTCAAGTCGATTTTCGAAATTAAAATAATATCAACGGTCTATAGATTGTCTGGGTAGGTGAAGAAATCCAGATCTTCCTCAACCATATTATACCCCGTCCCATCCTCCCTAGGTTGTCTGTTACGTTCTTCTATAGTTTAATATAAAACTCAAATAAAATAGTATAAAGTTTTTGGATATGATTAGCTTTCTATATCTCATGTTATGACATGTGGAAGAGAAACGATTTTTGATTGTTGATTACTTGATTGTATCCACATTTGGTTGATTTCGTGATTTTCCAAAGAAAAAAAAAACACTGCAACGTGTAGTAATTTGATTTCTTCTAATTTTTATGTAATGGGTGTGGCACATGCTCAACTAATAAAAATCATTGTTGATATTCGTAATTAGGAAAATGTACGTATATGTATATATCAGCAAAACTCATGTTGTTATTAGCAGTTAATATTTAATATAATGAAATACTAATGCAGAATGATTTTTAAATGTAAATTTAGGGAAGAAAATATAAAATTTAGATGGAATAATGTCAAAACTTTTTGTTTTATCCTTTGTCTAATATTAGTGTAGTTCACAGAAAGGGAGCTGCACTTGCACCTAATGATTTTTTTTTGGAATAACTAATGATTTATGAATATTGTAAATTTATGCTGCCATTTATACTTTTTTCGTTCTTAAAGTATTTTGGATTGGAATTAATCAAAATCCTAAAATTCAGAATTATTTTGTTCCCAGGTTTTTTTGTTTATATACTTAGTACCGGCTACCGCTCAAAACTTATAAATCATAATTTATCATTAAGTGACGTTCAATATAAAAACTCATTAATGCTTTTCTCACCAAGTGGCTTTAATGAAAAATCATACATCATAATCAATATAATCATAAATTGACACGATTTTCCTTTTTAGTCATTTTAGAGGTTTCAGATGCTCAAATTTTTCCTAGTTTCTTCATGTTGTCTTAATCAGAATTTTTTAAAATAACTCTTTTTGTTTAACTGGTTGCCATCTATTACTTCATTGTTTAAATCGATCATAAGATTTTACATTATCATTTTAAAGCAATTTTACATTATCTTTAATGAACGTTAACTGAGTCTTGTTGTTTAAAAGCCGCACTATTATTGTCTTAATCTCTTTATACATCTTATATGAAGTCACCAATTATTGCATGCGTCCGTCAACCAAAAAAAACTGCATGGCTCCAATGAAATTTCAATCATGTTACGTACATTGTATAAGGTATAGATTTCCAAAAATATTAGTTCTAAATTCTACGGGTTTTTCTTGTGGCGCCATGTCAGGTGTGTTCCCTAAAGTGGTTCCAAAACGAAATTTGCTTTAACCAACTGAACAATTGTGAATATAACAGAAGTTTATTTACAAATCAATACTCCCTCATTTGAAAAAAATAAATATTCTGAATATTTTTCAAAAATAACATTTATACTTTTTGTACATATCTTTTATTAATTAATAATAGTAAATTGTAAAATTTGAAAATCAAATTTGTTGAGTTCTTATTGTTTTATAATCTGGGAGAGAAATAATCAAAGAAAATATACATCTATTATCAAAATTTAATATATTTTATGAATATGTGTAAAAACACCAAACTTACATCTTTTGAAACAGATGAAATAGTCTAAATTTTTTTATTTATTGCTTTATTTATCATTATTCATAGTTTTATGGTAAAATATTATTATTCATAGTTTTGAAAGAACAGACTTTACTTTCATTTTTCTTTGACTCGATTATATATATTTTATATACGTATATATCATCAATGATGTTCATTTGCGTATAGTCAATATGTTACTTTTTTGTGCAAACTCAATATGTTACTTACAAGGTTAAAAGCATGCTTACAAAGTTTGTGGTTTAATATCTACACTAGTATGTGCATTTTCTAACAAAAGTTACATAAAGTTAATAGTTCTAAGAAATGCTGCCAGAAATTAAAAATATACATGGATCAAAAATTACATAAGCCATAAAATTAAACAATTCAAGTTATTTTCTTAATGAGCGGGCATAAGTATGCAATAAACAGTTGTATATGATGGATCAGTGTCTTTTAGCATTTAGGTGATCCAATCAAGGATAGAGATGTTTTAGCGTTATGAAAAAAGAAAAATAATCTCCATCTTTGTTTTTTCTCCTACCATTTCCTCCACAATGATTAAAATAATACATAGGTGGGACGAGTGGCCGATGGTGATGGCAGACCACAAAAAATATTTATAAAATATAATGTTCTTTTTTCTGGTTTTTTTTTTTTTTTTTTTTTGAAAGAACTTTTTCTAGGTATTGTTGGACATATATAATTCTGACAACATAATTAAATTACTTGGAGTATCATTATCCCAAAGACTTAAAATGGGTCTCTTAATACTTTTTTAGTAATATTAGTAGTATATAATAGGTCAAGAGAAATACTTAAGAGACCTAACATTTTAAAGTCTCCAACACAAGTTTCTTATTTAGGGTTTTTTTAAATTGTTTAAAACACATTTAACAAAATACATCTTTGTTCTCTATTTACCATCTACACAACACAACTCTATCGATTTCATACACATTCAACAAACTAAACCTTTGTTCTCTATCTACAAATTACACAACCATAAAACATTTATTACCGAAGCTAAAAGGTTCAGCCTTTGGAACTTACAGGGAAAATAACGTAATGTCATGCAACTCCATTTTTTTCAATCTTATTTATAAAAAGGAGTCAGTAGACAAACACTTGCCAATCTGAATCTTTCCAATACCGGGTACTCCACCTGCAGAGAATTAAGAGGAAGATTCAAAACACTTGTTGCTACCAATCTATGTAAACGAGATGGATTACCAATCTCTGTAACATCCCTGCAGCTGAATCCACCTCCCAAGATCAGAAGAAGATGTAGTAGTGCGTATAGAGTATGTACATAGGAATACTAGGTCTGATACCATATTAAGCTGGATGGGTTTCCAACTTAAAACCAATTGGTGATAAGTGCATTGGCCCATCTATCTTATATATCACTAACAATCCCTTTTAACTTCCGATGTGGGACACTTTGTGTCTAATAGTGCGCAGCAAAGCTTCCTCCTTGTGAAGCATATCCCAAGCATTCTTTGCTCATAGTTTCAAAAACAAGAGACAGAATCAACAGAGACATAAAAGGACAAATAAGTTTGTCTGCAAAGAAAAAACAAATAAAGAACAAGACTGAATTGTATGCAAACAAAGAACAAACGTGACTTAAGCTTTGGTGTTTACAAACTTATATAGAACGAAAGCATCATCGCTCATCAAATCTTTGACATAATATTCTGTCTTTACACAAACATACACAAGTAGTAATCACCACCCATAATAAACACAATAAACACAATCAACAAAACAAACTAATCTTATTTTTTTGTCAGCACAGAACAAACTTAACATAATAACAAATTCAGAACACAATCCTGTTTTGCAATTCGTTTGAGACCACATCGTTACGAAATCTAAACCGATCAAAGATATATAAACAAGAACAAGAGACATCATCATCTGTTGAATCGAAGAAAAAAGACATAAAGAACAAATACATAGTTTTACCTTTGAATCAATTTCGTCGATGAAAACCACGGGCCGAAGAGAGAGGTGGGAGGGATTCTTTATCAAGGTGAGCCATCAAGTATAGAGCATTGATCCATAACCTAAACCTAGCCGTCAAATTCAAAACGCTATCTTCCCTCCCCTTTTCTTCTTCTTCCTATTGTCCAACGTAATCTCTCTCAAACTGAACCCATGTCGACTTCTCCTACATCATCTCATGGGACCATACAGGTTTCTGAAAATCAGCGTATCCTAAATGTCAATATGACAAATGTTACTAAACTTACGGCTTCTAATTATCTTATGTGGAGCCGTCAAGTTAAAGCTTTGCTCGATGGTTACGATCTGTCCGGACATCTTGATGGATCCACCGTTGCGCCTCCGTCGACGAACACAAACAATGGTGTTGTCACTGCCAATCCAGAGTACCTGATTTGGAAACGTCAAGACAGCCTCATATACAGTGGGTTGCTTGGAGCTATTACAGTTTCAATTCAGCCCATCCTCTCCATGACCACTACAGCTGCTCAGATCTGGGAGACCTTGTCTGCGACTTATGCCAAACCCAGTCGCGGTCACATCCAACAATTGCGCCAACAGATCAAGACATGGACGAAGGGTACGATGAGCATCGATGCTTATGTTCAGGGTTTCAAGACTCGTTTCGATCAAGTTGCAATTCTGGGGAAACCATATGACATTGAAGACCAAGTTGAGTTCATCTTAGATGGTCTTCCCGATGAATACAAACAGATCAAGGAGCAACTTGAAGGTCGTGAGGCACCACCATCTCTTACGGAGATCCATGAAAAACTCTTGAACCATGAGAACAAGTTGCTTGCTAAGAACGCAACTTCTGCGATTCTCCCGGTGACTGCGAATGTGGCACACCATCGCGGTTCTTACAACAACACCAATCCCTCTCAGCGCCAGCATCATGGGCAACCTCGTCCCACCAACAATCGCTCACAGCAGACATGGCAGCAACAGCAGTTCTCACCACGCAATGACAATGCTCCCAGGGGTTATCAAGGTCGTTGTCAGCTGTGCGGGATCCAAGGACATAGCGCTCGTAAGTGCTCTCACCTTCAGACTTCTGCTGCTTCGTACAACTCCAACTCGCGATCACAG